CTAGAGAGGAGCAAGGACGTTTCATACAGATTGTATAGGTGTCAGGGTAGATACGTTGCTATATTTGGTAAGAAAAGAAGATAGTTTTCTTCTATTACTTCTGTTTTCTCTTTGAAATAAAAAATACCAAACTTAACATGGGTGAAGACAACTTTGATCAGTCCCTCTTTCACAGCCCATATTCGACACATATTTGACCCACCCAATTTGTTTTCTTTTCTTTTTCTTTTTTTTTTAAATTTTGGCACTCGGGATCAAACTCAGGACCTTGTGCCTGCAAAGCAAGCAGTGGGTCCACTGAGCTAAATCCCTTGCTCCCTATTTTTTGTTTTTATATGGTGACAAAGTTTATTTGAAAATGAACAGTGAAGAATAAGGGAGAAACTGGTTCTGCAGAGTGAACCTGGGAATAAAAGAGAGGAGAAATATAAACAAAAATAAAAGTACACCCTGGAGAACACAGGTTGGGCTGTGAGAAAAGTCATGGTAGCTAGCCATCTAATTCTATTGAGCCTATACCCAATATATATTCTGAATTCATCTATTTTTATACCTGCATAGCCACTACCTTAGTCTAGGCTACCATCAGTTATTTGTTTTGTTTTTGAGATGGAGCCTCACTAATTTTCTCTTGAACTCATGAGCTTGAACTCATGGGCTTCAAGTGATCCGCTTGCTTCAGCCTTCTAAGGAGCTTGAATTACAGACATATGCCACCAGCCCTGCTGGGATTACTGCAATACCTTCCTACCTTCCTAAGTTCCAGGCAAACTAAGGCAGTTCATCACCACACTGCTTCCAGTGCTTAATCCTCTTTAACCCATTACCGATTTAGCAACAAGAGTGATCTTTTGTCAATAAAAAACAAAAAAAGATTTTTTTACAAAAGAGTGGGCTTCATAAAACAAATCAGATCATATTATGGCCCCCACTTAAAACCCTCTCTAATAGTGTCTAGCTCCACTTAGAATAAAATCAATTCACCTTGGCCCACCAGCCCCGCACAATCTCCTTCCCAGTTACCTCTTCTTCCCCATCTAATACAATTCTACCCTCACTCACACTGCCTTCTCGGTTCCTCAAACACATCAAGGTCTTTCTAACCTCAGGACCTCTACACCTGAAGTTCCCTTTTTATGGAATGCTCTTGATTCTATTCTCATCATGTATGGTTCCTTTACAATTAGGGTGACAATTTATCCCAGTTGGTTTAGGTCTTCCCCAAAGTTAGCACTGCAGGTCCCATTTTTTTTTTTTCACTTTTTACATTTTTGGTACTGGGGATTGAGCCTAGGGTCTTCATACTGAGCTACATCTCCAGCCCCTTTTAAAAATTTTTTATTTTGAGTCAGGGTCTTGCTAAATTGCTCACGAAGGGCTCATATTTGCAAGGCTTCTGTCTCAGCCTCCTAGAGTGCTGGGATTATGGGTGTGCACCACCATGTCCAGCTTGAAGATCCCATACTCTAGGAACTTCCTCAGTCCCAGGCAAACACAGGAAGTTCATTATCCCATTTTTTTTTCCTCTTTGAGATGGGGTCTTGCTGTGTAGTTCAGGCTGGCCATGAACTCACTATACAGTCCAGGTTGACCTCAAACTTATGTCAGCCCTCCTGCCTCAGCCTCCCAAGTACTAGTATTATAGGCATGCACCACTGTGCCTGGTTCCATCGCCCCATTCTTTCACACTTTTTTTTTGGTACCAGGGATCGAACTCCGGTCCTTGTGTTTGTGCAGCAGGCGGCGAAACCACTGAGCTAAATCCCGGGCCCGATCGCCCCATTCTTAGCTAAGTATCTCCTGCTGTGGAGACTTGGGCAACTTTTAATTGCTAGATTATTTTGTCTGGTATAGCAGACATTTGCAGTCTCACTACTCAGCATCCTATTTTAGTAAAATCTCAAATTAGACAGGAGGCAGCCTTACATCCTGATAAGGGGGGAGATATTCCCTATTTCACTCTCTTAGCCAACTAGGTACCTCTGCCCAGAATTTTAAACCCTGAGGAGTAAAACAAAAGCATACAGTAGGTGGAGTTTTTTCATGGCTGTTGCACCACAGTAAGAAGATAGTAGATGGCAGCAAATGTCCCTGACACCAGAGTCTCGCAACAGCTTGGGTCGCGGTCCACAGCAAGGGCAGTGATGCCAGCACAGGGTCCCACTAGCAAGCGGCTACATCCTGAGCTCAGTATACCAGTAATAATATTTTGGCTGGGCCCTAACTTGTTTTCCATTCTCCCTAGTGACTCTCTGAGTTTCTCAATAGACTCCAGAAAAATCTCTTCTGGTTGAGGTAACTAGAATCAATTTACATTATTGTAATCAAGAATTCTAACTAGAGCATCTATTGACTTCATTTAAAAAAAATTTTTTTAAGTGGGCATCTGAAATGAATAGACACTTCTCAGATGAAGAAGTAAAAATGGCAAATAAATATATGAAAAAATGTTCAACATCACTGGTCATTCAAGAGATGCAAATTAAGGGCCAGGGATTTGGCTTAGTGGTTCTGCCGCTTGCCTTGCAAGCGCAAAGACCCGAGGTTCAATCCCTGGTAGCAAAAAAAAAAAAATCACACACAAAAAAAGAGATGCAAATTAAAACAACACTGAGATTCCATCTTACTCCAGAAAGAATAGCTATTTCCAAGAAATTGACCAATAAGCTGGGCACACACCTGTAATCCCAACACTTGGGAGGTTGAGGCAGGAGGATCACTGCAAGTTCAAGGCCAGCCTGAGCTACATAGTGAGACCCTGTCTCAAAAAAACTACAAAAAAAAAAACAAACTACAACAAAAAACAAAAGAAATCAATCAATAACAAATGCTGTTGGAGGTATGGGGAAAAAGGAGCCCTTCTCCACTGCTGGTGGGAGTGTAGACTGGTGCAACCACTGTGGAAATTAGTGTGGACATTCCTTAATAAACTAAAACTAGAGGTTCCATTTGACCCAGCTATTCCCCTTCTTGGTATCTTCCCAAAAGAATTAAAAGCATCATACCACAGTGATATGTGGTATGAACACCCATGTTTATAGCAGCACAGTTTGTAATAGTTAAATCTTGGAAACAGCCCAAATGCCCATCAGCTGATGAATGGATAAAGAAGATGTGGGGTTTTTTACACAACGGAGTACTACTGTGCCATAAAGAAGGATAAGCTTGAGACATTTCTAACTAAATGGATGTACCTTGAGACCATACTCTTAAGTGAGATAAATCCGACACACGTGTGTACCTATCACATTGTTTCTCTGGTGTGAGAAACTGAAAGTGGAAATAAGGACCAAAATATATAATAATAATTGGGAAATGGGAAGAAAATGTTCAAATGAGAAGGGGAACAAGGGAGGGAGGAGGGGGAAAGGAAAGAAGGGACAAGAAAAAAAGGAATAGAAGGAAAAAATGGAAACAAAGCTTTTGTAAGTAAGGAGAAGGGTTGGAGGGGAGAAGAATGGGAAAAAAGAAGAAGCAAGAGATATCATGCACAGGTACAAATTCCCTATGATGAATGTGATCATTATGTATATCGAAAATGTACCAATAAATGTTTTGCTTCAAAAAAATAAAAATAAATTTTTAAATAAAAAATAAAGTTTTTCTTCTTTTGGTTTTCTTTCTTTCTTTGTTGCTTGTTTGTTTGGAGACAGGGTCTCGCTATGTAGTTCAGGCTGGCCTTGAATTCACTATGTATCCCAGGCTGGCCTCAAACTTTCAGCAATCCTCCTGCCTCAGCCTCCTGAGTGCTGGGATTATAGGGGTGCACTATGGCCAGCTTTTTTAGGTTTTTTGATGTATTCCTAACAAGAATATAAATTCTAAGTCTGTTTTGTTCACTATTACAGCACCAGGGCCTAGCAAAGTACCTGACCTCCCCCTCCTTTTTCTTTTGGTACCGGGGATCAAACTTGACCTCCCTTTTTTAGATACCAGGCCTTGCTATACTGCCTAAACTGGACTTGAACTTGCAATTCTCCTATCTCAGCCTCCTGAATACCTAGGATTACAGGTGTGGGCCACCATACCCAGCTTTTGTGCCTGATACTTAGCAGGTACTTAATAAAAAATTTTTTTGAGATAGGGTCTCAGTAGCTCACCAAGTTACCCAGGCTCGGTTCAAACTCACAATCCTCCTGCCTCAATCTCCCAGAGGGCTGATATTACACTACCATGCCTAGCTAATAAGTACTTTATTTTTTAATTGAATGAATGAATGAGAAATCATCAATCTCTGAGGAATTTACTGCTTTATAAGGTATCTAATTATTCCTATTAGTATCAAAGAGATGAGCCAATAATAAAAATATACCTATATGTTTTGTAATCTAAAACCAATTGCTATGCATGTTCTTTTTTGTTTTTTGAGACAGGGTCGCACTATGTAGTTCAAGATATCATTGAACTATGTAGCCCAAGCTGGCCTCGAACTTGCAATGATTCTCCTGCCTCAGCCTCCCAAGTGTGGGGATTACAGGCATGTGCCACCACACTCCTCAATCATGACTTCTTAATCTTTGCTGCCCTAGTATTTAGTGCAGTGGCTGCAACATATTAGACACACAATATTGTTCATTCAAGAATGAAAGCCAGGAGGGGTGCATTACTGCTGAAAAGCATTACATTGAAAGCCAGGTGGGATTACTGCATCCCAGTAATCCCAGCACTCAAAAGGCTGAGCCAGGATTGCCACAAGTTTGAGGCCAGCCTGGACTACACAGTAAATTCAAGGCAAGGCTGAACTATATAGGAAGACCCTGTCTCAAAAAAAAAAACGGGCTGGGGATTTAGCTCAGTGGTTCCGCCACCTGCCTTACAAGTGGAAGAACCTGAGTTCGATCCCTGGTACCAAACCCCCCCCCCCAAAATGGGCCGGGGATTTAGCTCAGTGGTTCTGCTACCTGCCTTGCAAGCGAAAGGTCTCGAGTTTGATCCCCATTACCCAAAAAAAGGAAAGAAAACAAAAGAAAGGTATGTGAAGAAGACAAAGAGCGCCATACCTTGGTGACTTCTTGATCTTCCAGGGAAAACTCTACCAATTCATCTGAAATCTCTTCTGCCTGGTCTTCTCCTAGATTTGGGTTTTTATCCAATTTTGGAATTGTAGAAATGGGACTGCCTAGATAATTCATTTCTCTTTCCATCAAGTTTCCACTGTCCTGTCAAGTAAATTGACAACATTAAAACCTATACAAAACACACTGCTCAAACTTTATTTGTCCACCTCCTTTTCTCACCCAAGCCAGGTTAGAAATCAACAAATAAATCAATAATCAATAAAAAGCTAAATAGAAAAGTCCAAGACTTACAGATCCAGAGCCATTATCCTATACCTCATACCTCAATTGGGGTCTTTTTTTTTTCTTTGTAGTACTAAGGGTTGAACCCAGGGCCTTGGCACTGAGCTACATCCCCAGACCTTTTCTATTTTGAGACAACATCTCAGCATCTTGCTAAAGTTGCCCAGGCTAGGCTCAAACTTGTAATCCTCCTGCCTCAACTTCCCAGAGTGCTGGCATTACAGGTGTGTGCCACTGTGCCCAGCTTCAACTGATCTTTAATAATAATATCCAATGCTCACCAGCAGAGAAAGAGGAGACATATAAGGCCCTCCTAGTCTTTTTTGAAACCTCAGGTTTCTGGGTGCCTGCCACTTCAAGGCCTCAAGAGTGCTGTTCGCCTCATTAAAAAAAAAAAATTAAAGGCTAGAGGAATAGACGTTAGTGGGCCCTGTCAAAAACATTTCATCTAACCAAACTATGAATAACACTCATGATACATATTAAATGTATTCATTAAATGTATACCCTGAAGACAGAAATAATAGTTTGGATTTGATGTGTAGTAGAGAGACTTGCTTTGGAAGATACTAATTTAATGATCACAAGCAAAAAAAAAATGATCACAAGCAAAAAAGTGGGGGGCATGGCATGCTTGAGAGGGGATGGTGAGACTTTAAAAAGTGATTATAAACAAAGTCTATGTAAATAGGGAAGGGTGGAGGGGGTGAAGGGTGCACAGGTAATGGGGAAAAATAAGATCCAAGATACATCATGTACAGGTACAAGCACCCAATGATAAATGTAAACATACTGTATATCTAAAATGTACCAATAAAAGAATTTAAGGAAAAAAAAAGAAGAAAAAGTGATTATAAGGGGCCAGGGATTCAGCTCAGTGGCGCCGCACCTCCCTTGCAAGTACAAGGTCCTGAGTTCGATCGCCAGTACCAAAAAAAAGTGATTATAGTTGTGCCTTTGTAATCCTAGTTACTTGGAAGGCTGACACAAGAGGATGCCAAATTTGAGGCCATCCAGGGCAACTTAGTGACACCCTATCTCAAAATAAAAAAGGGCTGGGGATGTGCAAAGGCCAGGAGTTCAAACCCCAGGACCACACACACACACACACACACACACACACACACACACACACACAGAGAGAGTGATAAAGGCACAGAAGGACAGTATTAAATCAATAAAAAACTGATTAGAACAGCCAAAATCATGAGCATATCTTTAGCAATGCAAGAAAAGAACAGCAGCTATTTTTCTTTTTGGAATGACCTAGGAGAAGAGATGGAAGGTAAGGAAGAAAAAAAGCCAGAAAAGAGGATTAGTTGAAGGAATTAAAGAACTATCACAGTTATTAGGTGGCTCAGGAGAGGCCAGTTTCAACTTGGAAATGAAGGATGACCTAAGGCTTAGATAGAAAGGACCACTGAGCCAGGTGGGGCAGTGCATGCCTGTAATCCTAGCTACTGGGAAGGCTGAGGCTAGAGAACAAACAACTTTTCTTGTCTAGCATACTAATGTATGAACAGCTCTAGGTCTCACACGGACACCAATGAGTTGCTTCAGTCAAAGGTATAAAACTAATATATCTAGGCTTCCATTAAATACTCACTTCTTTGTTTGCAGATAAGCTATACATTACATCTTTCTTTCTGTGGCCATGGTCCAAAGCATTCGGAGTGCTACAGAGAAGCTGTGCCTAAAAGACAGTATCTGCTGAAAACATCCACCATTCTTGGGCCATGGGTGAGTTGGAAACCCTCTGCTTCCCACCTGAGAAACAAACCCAAACCCAAAAAAGAGGAGCTACTCACTGAGCTGCCTTTCCTAAGGGGCTGGAGATGATTTCTGCGGATTAAAACAAACCACCAGTCCCATAAGTGCACTGTAACATTTTCCTTCATTCTTTAAAGATAATTCTGATTCTGTGTGTTGGGACATTCCAGCTTTTCCTTTCTTTCATTCTAGGAACCCTAGTCCTAGTCGCTATGTCTCTTTTAATAACAATATGTAAGATATTCTCTGTGGTAAATATCAATACTCAACCCGGGGATTTAGCTCAGTGGTTCCGGCGCCTGCCTTGCAAGCGCAAGGTCCCAAGTTCAATCCCTGGTACCAAATATCAATACTCAAGTGACATTCTGGGGAAAGGCCCTCATTTCACCCACAAAACCACATCTATGGATGTCATGAAACATAAGTAAGTTTCTCTTAAATATTTTTTTGTGTGCACATGCACATGATGTACGCATGTGTGTGTAGTGCTAGACACAGAACCCAGGCCCTATAGGGCTAGGTAAGTGCTCTACCACTGAGATACACTCCTAGCCCTGTCTTGCACCTTATTTAGACATAGTTGTTTTTACCCTTTGAGTATTCTCTGACAATCTTTTAAGATTTTTTTTTTTTTTTTTTTCTGGTACCTGGGATCGAACTTGGGACCTTGCGCTTGCTTGCAAGGCAGGCAACGGAACCACTGAGCTAAATCCCCAGCACTGACATGTTTCTTTTTTTGGTACCGGAGATCGAACTCGGGTCCTTTCACTTGCATAGCAGGCAGCAAAACCACTGAGCTAAATCCCCGGCCCTCTGACATGTTTCTTGACTTCATTGGACTTCAGTTTCTTCTTCTTCTTCTTCTTTTTCTTTTTTTTTTTTTTTTGAGATGGAGTCTTGCTATGCAGTCCAGGCTGGCCTTGAACTCACAGTGATCCTCCTGCCTCAGCTTCCTGAGTACTGGGATTACTGGCATGTGCTACCACGCCCAGCTGGACTTCAGTTTCTCTAATAATACAGTAACGCGGAGATATTTATGGCACTTCTATTGCAAAGATTTAACAAAAAAATGTGTATCCAGAACATACCAAGCATTGTATAATGTTTGTTAATAAACTATTATGAATTCTTTGTAGAAAATCCTAAAAGAGGGGCCGGGGATTTAGCTTAGTGGTTCCGAGTTTGATCCCTGGTCCAAAAAAAAAAAACAAAAAAAATATCAGTCATAGCTAGTAAAGTAATAAGCAACCAGAGTCGGGACACTCATCCCAGACCCTACACCCTGCACTTTTAAAAGCAATTTTCACATGAAAATCAAAGCCCACACAGAAATGCAGTATAACATTTTCCTTCATTTTTTTAAGGATAATTCTGATTATGTGTGATGGTTAAAATTAATAATGTTCATTTCTTTTTCTTTCTTTTTTTTTTTTTTTTTTTTTTTTTTGGTTTTTTGAGACAGGGTCTCTCTATGTAGTTCAGGCTGGTCTTGAACTCACTATGTAGCTCAGGCTGACCTCAAACTCAGGGTAATTCTTTCTCCTGCCTCAGCCTCCTGAGTGCTGAGATTACAGACATGCACCACCATGCCCGGCTGATTTCATAACACTATTTAGACCTGAAAAACATAAAAGTTTTTCAAGGTTAGGATCTAGGGGTTTTTGTTTTTGTTGTTGTTTTTTAAAGATGTAGATTTGGAACACTTATACTCAATGTGAAATGTTTTAGAGCTGGGTATGGCGGCTCACAGCTATAAATCCCAGTACTTGGGATGCTTGAGGCAGGGAGATTTCAAGTTCCAGGTGACCCTGGGCTACACAGTGAGTTCAAGATCAGCCTACATTACACAGTGAGACCTTGTCTCAAAAAAACCACAAAAAGGGGCCGGGGATTTAGTTCAGTGGTTCCACCTCCTGCCTCGAAAGTGGAAGGACCCAAGTTCGATCCCCAGTACCAACAAAAAAACCACAAAAGAAAAAAAAATTTTATACTAAAAAAACTCTGCAAAGGATAAAAATCTGTGATCAGTGCCAAAGGCCTTAATATGGGGCTCATTAGCAATAGAACTTACATCTCAGCTAACTGTCCTTCCTGAGAACCTGAAGAATTCAAGTGACCTGTAATCAGATATGAAGAATCAATAAGCAGTATTATTATTTTCCATGTATCCTATTTTCTCCTCTGATTTTCTTCATTACTAGTAAGCCTCATTAATCTCAAAAACTGAGCTCTTGAACACAAAGCCTTTTGACTAGTATCCATTTCATGGAACAAAGTACTAGGGAACAAGGTATAATTTCATGGAAACAAGAATTTACATAGGACAGCTGGGCATGGTGGCACACACCTGTAATCTCAGCACTGTGGGAAGCTGAGGCAGCAGAACTGCATATTTGAGCCCAGCCTAGGCAATTCATCAAGAAGCTGTCTCAAAAAAAAAAAAACCCTAAAAAAACTGTCTCAATACCCAGTAAAGCAAAAAACAAACATATGTCAAGCTTGGCATGATGGCACAAGCCTTTAATCCCTGCATTCAAAGGCTGAGGCAGGAGGATTTTGAGTTCAAGGCCAGGCTGGCCTACATAGTGAGAACCTGTGAAAAAAAGTTATCTATCCTTTGAAGCCTCTCCCTACCTGTTTCATCAAGATCTGCAGAAGTGGTAAACTGAGTTGCACTCATCTCCCCACTGCTAAGATTTGAAAGATCAAGGCAATGTTTTGGGGTTCCTCTGTTGAGACATAAAAGTACATTAATATTCCCATTAGGCTGTAACATCCTAAAAGAGCAAAGATCAGGTAGATTATGTAATCTTCATTTTAAATACCTCTCCATGACTATCACAAAATCTAAACAGTATCCAAATAATTCTAATTGATTTTTGGTAGTAGCTTAGAATGGGTTAAGAAAAAGCTCCCATCCTTAGCAGGGTGTAGTGAATACCTGTGGATGAGACAGGAGGAGAGTTTGAGGTCAGCCTGGACTACATAGTGAGTTCAAGGCAGCCTGAACTATAAAGTAAGACCCTGCCTCAAAAAAGATCCTAGTTAGAGAGGAAGAGATTATTATTTCTATTTCACAGAAAAGAAATCCTAGACAAGACCCAAAAGGTTCACACAGCCAAGGGCAGAGCTGAGACTTTAGCCTGGTCTAGGATAATTAAACAAACCTGTTTAGAAAAGCAAAGGATATAAGAAGTAAAAATAAAAATGGATTTACCCAGACAAAAGGCTTAGGTTTGCAGAATCCCCAAGGAATCTGTCCACTGGAGATTTAGGGAAATCTCGACAGATGGTAAAAGAAGCGTTTCGTTCCAGGAGCAGGTGTAACATCTTCCTCTGATTGGACCTAAAACTGGGTCCTGAGCCAGGGCTTCCCTCTCTTGTGGGTGAAAAGAGTTCTGTAGACATGGTCTCTGATTCCTCACCAAGAAAAAACAAAACCTGAGAAGAACATCACAGACCACTTGGCTTTTCCAACCTCCTCACCTTTTCTAGCCAAACAGATCACCACGGAAGAGGGGCATCCCCCCCAAAATGAATCACAACCTGGCCTGAAGGCTAAATCGCGCTTCCCCAAGTGGCTTGGCCTTTTCATTGACACCTGAACTCTTCGAGGAGCAACTTCAGGACTTTAAAAGAATGAAAAGAGGACTTTCACTTGTTCGGAGCCACAGAGCTCGACACCCCGACTGGAAGAAACTCAAATCTCCTAACTCGAAATAATCCCCATTTGAACCTCTGGTCACTATGGCGACAAGTAGCTCTCTGTGATTTCGTAGCCGAGACCGTTGCGGACTTACCTGGTAAGTTTGGAGTTAGATTAGCCTTCAGAAGAAAGGAAAGTGGGGAGGGACTGGACACACCAAATGAAATGAAAATCTGAGGAAAAGAGGCAGTTAACAAGACTACAATTTTGCTTCTCGCCACAACAGTCGTGCAATACCAACAGCCAAGCGGTTGACCATTCAAACCTTCCGCTCTCCCAACAACTCCTCCCCGCTCGCCTGTAGGCTTCGTTAGCCAGTCTCCGCGCACGTCCTGAGGCCCCACGGCCAATTGGCAGGTTTGTATATCACCCGGGGGAATGCACTTGCTCTGGAAGGGGTACTTGTCCCGCCCCGGAGCCAAAGCAGGATGGCGATTGGCCTACCAGCCTTAGGCCCCCACAGGGTTAGGGAACCTAGCGCCCATTGGCTCTCCCTCTGGCCAATCGCCACACCCTTCCGGTCCAGTCTATTTCCTCAGCCGCATTAACCCCGGGAGATTTAAATTGCGCCTCGCCAGTGACGATTGTTCGCCAGGATGATACTAGGGGAGATTATTTTGAGTGAAAGTGTTTCTTTTTCCTTGCTCCATTCTCGTGTCGTTTCCCTTTAATTTTGCCAGTCTTCGGCTTGGGATGGAGGATTTGCCGCCGGCGGGTCAGGCGTTGGTGCGTGACAGGTGTGTAGGTTTTCGCTGAGTGGCATTGGCCCTTCCAAGAGGTTTCCTGCTCATTGTCCTTTTAGTGTGCAGCATCTCAGAGATATGGGTAAAAAGAATTACTTTTTCAGGGACAGTAAAGGAGTTGAATCACCTCTTTGTGTATTTTTTGAGATTCTAGGGGTTGAAACCCAGGGGCGCTCTACTACTGACCTAAACTCAGGCCCTTCTTTTTATTTTGAGACAGAGTTTTGCTACATTAGCCAGGCTGGCCTCGAACTTGTGATTCTCGTGCCTCAGCCTCCCGAGTAGTTGGGGCTACAGGAATGCACTACGCCCAGCATCTTAATGTAATTCTTACCAAGGTCCAGGGGAATCTCAAACTTTAGGTGTTTAGGGAAATCAGAACATTAATAATGTGATGTTTGAAATCGTTTATATCTTTTGCAGTACAGTACTGGGAGTCCAACACAGAACCAAGGGCATGTAAGGCAAGTGCCCTACCACTAAGCTACACCCTCAGACCTAGACTTTTGTTTGTTTTTTGATACAGGGTCTCACTATGCCGTCCAGGCTGGCCTCAAACTCCAAACTCTTGGCAATCTCCTGCCTCAGCCTCCCAAGGGCTTGGATTACAGGCATGTGGCACTATGTCCAGCTATTCCTAAAATTCTTAATGTCAGATACTTGCTTTTATTTATTTATTTTTGGTACCAGGGATCGAACTCGGGTCCTTGCGCTTGCAAGGCAAGCGACGGAACCACTGAGCTAAATCCCTGGCCCGGATATTTGCTTTTAATGAGAGCCAGCCATTATTGGGCGCACCTGCGATCCTGGCCCTCTGAGTGGCTGAGGCAGAACTGCAAGTCTGAGCCCAGCCTAGGAAATTTAGTGATTTAACAAGACCCTGTCTCAAAATAAGAAATAAAAAAGGGGCTGTGGAGGTAGCTCAGTTCAATCCCCAGTACCGGAAAAATTAATAAATTAATCCTGTGAGGGTCAGGGTGGGTATAGATGAGACAAAACTGGCCCACGAAGGGGCCGGGGATTTAGCTCAGTGGTTTCTGCAGCCTGCTGCGCAAGCGCAGAGACCCAAGTTCGATCCCCGGTACCAAAAAAAAAAAAAAAAAAAACTGGCCATGAATGTTGGGCAGTGGGTGGGTGGCAGGATGTCATGTGCAGGCTAGGGGTATATTTCATTGGTAGAGCATTTGCCTAGCCTGGAGGAGGCCCTGAGTTTGATCTCTGACACCACAAAAAATTTAATGTGCATACTAACCACTAGGAGATCCTGTTAAAATACTGGTTCTGATTAAATGGCTCTGGATTTTGGCCAAGATTCTTCGTTTCTGAAAAGTACCCAGCTGATGTCAATGCCTCTCCCCTCCTCTCCTTTTTTAAGATAGGGACTCATGAAGCTGGTCGTGGTGGCCCACACCTGTAATCCCAGCACTTGGAAGGCTGAGGCAGGAGGATTGTTGCAAATTCAAGGCCACCCTGGGCTACATAGTGAGTTCAAGGTCAGTCTGAACTAAATAGCAAGACTCTATCTCAAGACAAAACCAAACCAAAGATAGGGTCTCATTATGTTGCCTCTAACTTGAGGCTCCTGTCTCAGCCTCCTCAGTAGCTGGGATTACGGGTCCATGAACTGGTCAAGCTTGTTATACTCTTTACTTCAATGTATGTCTGAAATTTTTCATAATTAAAAAATGTTTAAAATAGCCTGGTATAGTGGCACATGGCTGTAATCCCAGGCAAAAGGATCACAAATTCAAGCCCAGCCTGGGCAATTGAGTGACCTAGTGAAACCCTATCTCAAAAAAAGTGGAGGGGAGGGCTGAGAATGTGTCCCAGTCCAAGGGCCCTGGGTTCAACTCCTGGTTCTGGAATAAAAAAATAAACATGTTTAAAATAATTTTGGAAGCCCTTTAAAATGCAGACTCCTAAAATTGATTCAACAGGTCTAAACTGAGGCCCAGGATTATCAAGACCATCAGCGGCTACCCATACCAATGGCTTGTAGACCACACTTTGAGAAACAAGTCAGAAATACGATCTTTATCTGATGTTAGGATCTTGTTGGTGACAGTGGCTGAGAGGTGCTGTATAGTCAGCTGATGTTTATCCTAATCTGTGGAAATTGCTTCCCCAGAAAGGAGGTATGTGAAGAGTCTTTGTCCTCTGGGACAGAGACCGTAAACGTGGGAGTCAGCACAGACTCTTGTCATGCCAGGTAAGTTTGGAAGTCAGGGTGAAGGTAAAGGGAGTGTGATAGGGTTGATGTCTGCTCTAATGACTATAATCGTTCTTCATAGGTTACTGTATACTCCCCTGCAGGTGGGAAGTAGAGACAGATGAAGTTGTCCTGCAGCGGCGGCAAAAGCAAATAGATTATGGCAAATGTACACCTGGTTACCAGTGCTTTCTGCAGCAGATCCCCAAGTGAGTGCATTTTTGGATGGTCACAACAAGTAGGTCAACCAAGTGGCCCTGGTCAATGTCAGGTGATGGGAAGATATTAGAATCTGAGCACTCTAACAGCTGCAGCATTACTAATTCTCTCACAATCTAGTCTCCAAAATAAGTTTTGAAGATTTTCTCAAGTAGAAGAGTAATACTTGGCCTATAAAACGTTTCCAAGCTCTATCTATGGTTCCTGATAACGGTGTTTTCTTCTCAAACTTATTTCCCATGGCCCCATGCTTCCAGCTGTCTTAGCTAACTGCAACACACTTGATTAATTACGTGTGCGCTTATATGCATACATACAAACCAAAATGTATGAAAGAGTAGAATGTATTGTATAGGTATGTCAAATACTTTCTTATATATGACTTCTGAAGGTGTTGTAATGTAGCTAACTTACCCTTTCCAGAAGCAAGGCTATTAGGGAAGTGGGAAGTTTGGAGTATAATCTGATTTGAAGATTCACTTTTTCTGTTGGATTGATTCCACATCTTTCTTGGGGAATTCCTATTTTAAGTGCCTGATTCACTGTGATAAGTGGTGAGCCATGTTCCTTTGGTTTGACCTCAATGTGACCTATATTTGTTGTTGCCAGAGCACAGCGACAGCCAGGGCTTCACCCTCAAACACCAAACAAGAACAGGAGGTACAGCCGTCGTTCCTGGGATGCTCAGATCAGGCAGTGGAGAAGAGCTCTACATACCTGGGACCCCCCCAGCCAGCCTCTTCAGGGCAGGGGTGCCGAAGGGTGTGTTTACTATTCTTAGTTCCCTTTGTGGGTGGTGACTGAGTCCTTACCTCTCCCCATGCAGCAGAGGTTCAGCTTTTATTGGGTAGAAAGGGAGGGTCTGTGTGAGTACAATGCTCTCTGACTCTGCTGCCTCCCTAGGCAGGGAAAGGAGAGTCTCTTAGAGCCCATGGATTCTACCTCTTCCGATGGCCTCCTGGATGACTGACTCCAGGCCCTGGAACCCTCACAGAATCTGGATGGAGGCCAGAAGGGGGCCAAGGTAGTATACTCCATTGAAAGCCATTGGATCAGGGTCATAGCTGGGGTCTGACTTATAGGAGCCCAATTAAGGTGGTATTCAAAGAAGTGGCCCAAGAACAAAAGAATAAAAAGGGAGTAGCAGGAAAAAACAGGACATGAGTTTTAAAAATTGAGAGCTCAGTGCATGCCTGAAGTCCCAGCACCCGGAGGCTGAGGCAAGAGGATTGCCTTGAGTTCAAGGCCAGCCTGAACTACATAGCAAAACCCTGTCTCAAAAAAAAAAGAGAGAGAGAGAGCTCAAAGTGGCAAAAAGATATTTAATTATGGGCAGGAGTGCTGGGCTGCACTTTGAGGCTTTATTTTTGGCAATATTGGAGATTTCACCTATGGCCTCACACATGCTAGACAAGCACTCTAGCACTGAGCTACATCCCCAACCTTTTTTACTTTTTAAGGTCCTGGTAAATTGCGTAGGCTGGCCCCTAACTTGTGATCTACCTCAGCCTTCCGAGTGCTGGGACTACAGGCATGTAGCTACCTCCTGGCTCCTGAGGAGCTAGGATTACAGACATGCATCATGGCACGGAGCAGTGGCTATTTTATTCTTTTTTATTAGTATATGTTTACAATACATAATAATTCATCTTGGGAAATTGGCACATACATATACACATCAAATCTTGATCATTTTTATTCCTTTCCAGCCCTTCCCCAGAGGCCCCCTTCCTACCTCCACAAGGTCTACCTGTTTCTTTTTTTTTTTTGGTAGCAGGGATCAAACTTGGGACCTTGTGCTTTCGAGGCAGGCAGCAGAACCACTGAACTACATCCCCAGCCCTTACCTCCCTGATTCCTACCATCACTTTTATTTATTTATTTTTGGTACCGGGGATTGAACTTGGGACCTTGCTCTTGCAAAGCAGGCCGAGGAACCACTGAGCTAAATCCCTGGCACATAAACCACCTTTTCTTTTTCCCTTCGTCTGAGAAACTATTTTAGTCTAGATGAAAGGAAATATAACTTTCCTTTGAAATGAGTCCTGAAACCTGACTTGCAGTGTTTTTAAAAAATTTTTTTTGCAGATTTTTGTGTCTGTTTCTTCCATTGTTTTTGCAAATGAACCAATGCCAACTTAACTTCTTTAACTCAACCATTTAACTTTAGAAAGCATGATTAGTAATGAAAGAGAAGCAGCCTAGTGTGAAAAAGCAAGAGCCTTAGAGTGTCAGACTTTTTGATATAAACTTTGCCTATCAAATAGGCAGTCATTTAACCTCTTAGGCAGTTTCAGTTGGCAAATAAGAGATAGTTTGATTGTAGGCAAAAATAAGTATATTTCTTAAAAATATGTAGCACAGGGCTGGGGATTTAGCTCAGTGGTTTTGCTGCCTGCTGCGCAAGCGCAAGGACCCGAGTTTGATCCGGGGTACACACACACACACACACACACACACACATACACACACACACACAAATTATGTAATGAAAATGGGAGTGAAGATTTGTTTTTCACTGCAATTTCCTCTTAGTAAAGAGAAAGAACAGAACCACTGGCCATGATGTGTAGGTGAAATGGTTTCCTTTTCAGTAATGGTGAACCTTTTAGCGCTTTCAAAGATACAGCCCTCTGCAGCACATGTCATAAGTTCACCACCATGGTTAAAGTTTAATTGTACATATTATGTGCCAGGCATTGTGGTACATAATTTTTGTGTGTGTGTGTACCGGAGATCAAACTTGGGACCTTGTGCTTGTGAGGCAGGCAGCAGAACCACTGAGCTAAATCCCCGGGCTCCATTTTTTTTTTTTTTTTTGAGACAGGACTCACTATGTACTCCCTGCTGGCCTTGAACTCTTCTTGGTGATCTTCCTGCCTCAGCCTGAAGAGTGCTGGGATTACAGATGCACACCACCACACCTGGCCCATTTTCTTAATACCTCACTTTTTCTCTCTTTCAGTTTGTAGATTTGGTGGATCCAATTTCCTGCCCTCCCAGGCTCAGTGAGGAAGACAGCAATTCACCTGTCCCAGACTTGGATAGTGCAGAAAATATTTAGAGAAAATATGTCTTTCAGGGAACTTGCTGCTAAATGTGATAGTGAAGTCACTTGTGTTAATACTTTCCAAACAGAAAAGAAAGAAAGAAAGAAAGAAAAGAAAGAAACCAAGAAAGCAAAAACTGCCTTACAAAGAGATCACAGCATGATGGCATTGTTTAAAGCCTCTTTTTTTTTTTTTTTGCTACCAAGGATCAAACTCAGGGTCCTTGCGCTTGTGAGGCAGGCGGCGGAACTGCTGAGCTAAATCCCAGGCCCTAAAAGGTCTCCTTTTTCTTTCTTTTTTGTCTTTCTGATGCTGAGACTCGTGTTTACAGAAGAACCAGAAACCATCTTCCTAATTCCTTCACTTACTTAAGTCTACATTCCGACTCTTTAAAAAGGACTTGAACTGTGGCTGAGGTGGGAGGTGGTAGTAGTGGCAAAGACTCAATAAAAAGGTGGTTTCCCTTTCCTGAAGAGGAAATATAGTGCCATCGACATCGTTTGCCCATCTGCCTTTTTCCTCCCTTTCCGTTTTAAGGAAAGTGGTCCAACTGTAACCACCGTACCCCCCCCCCCCCCCCCC